AAACTTGTGTGTTTTGACGGGTCCCTTCAGGACCTGTTTCAAATTATAACTAAATTTCTGTGTTTTCACAGGTCCCTTCTGGACCTGTTTTATATTATAATTAAAGTGTGGTTTAAAAATGATATTGGTGATTTTCCTTACCCACCCGCTCTCCTTGTTTACAGCTGGGCTAGCATATTAAATTTATTAAATAAATGGTTTGATTATTTTCCACAAAATAACCTGGCGTCTCGGGCATTAAATTAAAATAAACCAAATATAACGGGTATTTTACTCAAATCCACATTATAAATTAATTAACATTAACAATTGCAGTAAATTCAATTAAATAAATAAATTAATAAAAATACACGTTATAATATATAAACGGTTTTTTTTCAATTGTCTCCGTTTGACCAAAATGATGATAAAATAATTTTTATTTGTTCCAAATAAATTTTGCTCTTAAAAATAAAGGAACATTAATATAATCGCAATGCATAATTTTCATTCTGATTCAAATTGCAAATGCAATATATGTTTCAAAAGAATTAGCAATAATAATTTGTTCTTGTCAGAGTATGTTGAGAAAATTTAATGAGAAAAGCTATGGTTATATATATATATATATATATATATATACGATCTCATAACTGGTTCGTGCCAAAAGTAACACATTTGCCTCTAACGGTAGTTAAGAAAGGGAAACATATAATATAACGGAACTGACATAGTGACGTAACGAAGAATTTACGTAGTCTGCATATGTTGGGTGAAAATGGTGCATAATGTGCATCTGGCTCAGTATTCTCGCGTATGTATATCTTTTGATATAGGAGATAGGAGTTCCTCTACTATATACACATATGAGGTTAATATATGAATATTTGGGACACGTATATATATATATATACATATACCCTTGAAGTTGAGATTAATAAGGGCTTATTTTAGTATATTGGAGATACCAATTGTAATGATTAATTTGACCGTTTGTTTCGCGTCATATGCACTATGGCATATTCGCGCTCGCGAAACCATTTCAGAAATATATATATATATATATAGACAAACCATGCCACATGTTTGGTCTAATTGAAAGCTATAATACATGTCCCAGCTTTCAGTGTTATTAATTAGCTTTCAGAGTTAATCACATAGTGCGATTCGACTAGGAAATTAATGACTAACTTTGACACCATTTAGAGATGATTAATTACGTAACTGACTAAAACCCAATCAGCTTGATATCTGCCCTTTCGATCTGCAATCGCTCGTTAGGTCCTGGATGTAATATAATTGATAAATATATACATATATATATAGTACAACTAAATGTTTATTTTTTCAAGATCGTTTTCGAAAACTTGTATATATATTTTTCACGAAACATCTATATATATATAGTAAAGACTTCATGAAGGAAAAAAAAATTACATAGATCCTATATCCCCCCAAGTATGAAGGATCAAACTGCCCTTTATTTGATTTATATACGCAACCGAAAAGTTGACCTCAAATCGTGGAATTAGGGTAGAAAAATGCGATTCTAAGAAACACTCATAAAAATATTTATTTCTTATAACATATATATATAAAATGTTGAGTCTAAATATAATAAATTGTGGATGATATATCCCTTAGACATTCGCAGCCACTTAAAATATAGAGATATATTTATTGGAACAAGCTTTTATCATGATTTATATAAATATTACGTTTCAGGAAAAGATAAATAATGTTATTTTCTGGAATTTATTACTTAGAAAGTTTGTATTGATAACCATAATATATATATATAGAGAGAGAGAGCTATGGTCAATATTATGATTTCACTAGATATATATATATATATTTGCAAACTGTTTTAATGTACATTATTTTACAATAGGATTCCCTTTGATATACTTGTTTCTATTATAGACTAATTATTTCATCTGAAATTTCTCATTATTTTCATATACAATATTGAATAGTTCTATCGTTCATTTTCAATATTGTACATGACATCATTATGCACTGAAAAAAGGGTTTGGTATTGACAACCAAACGTTTGGTTGGTATTTAAGCAACCAAAACTTTTTTGTTGTATCAATAAAATTTTAATTGTCTCAACCAAAATTTGTTTGACACAACCAAAATTTGTTTGACACAACCAAAATTTGTTTGACACAACCAAAATTAGAAAAAAAAACGATTTTTGTTGTCCTAACTATAAAATAATAATATAATAATATAACTAAAACTATAAAACGGGACAACCAAAATTTTGGTAGCTTAAGGCCAGGTCCAAGTGAGGCAGCGCCATCTACATTAAAACTATAATTTTGGAGAATTTTCAACAGCCTTTTCTCGAAAACAAGAAGGTAAAATGCGTTTTTCTTTATGGATAATTGATTATTAGCAAGAAATACACCAGCTAAAACTTTTTTTGGGTTAAAATGATGAAAAAAATTTCATGTCGATAAATTAAATATGAGCAGTTTTTTCACAAAAACTGTAATAGTACAATTTCCATTTGGAAAATTAAGAAACGTTAAACAATACACCAGCTAAGATTCACCAATCACGAAAATAACAACAAAAAATTTTATTACATATTTAACATATGGACACTGTTTTACTGATTGTGACAGCCCTTTGGTAGATTATGTATTTCAGGTGGTTAGCAACAGCGCCAATCTCCACCTTTCGGCAAAATCGCAAAACGTCTGGTGACATATATAACCTGCCAAACGGCTGTCATAATTAGTAAAATATGTTATGTTAAAAAACTTTTTTTTTGTTATTTTCGTGATTGGTAAATCTTAGCTGGTGTATTTTTTAGCGTTTATTAATTTTCCAAATGGAAATTGCATTTTTGATTGTAATTTCTGAGAAAGTACTGTTACAGTTTTTCTGAAAAAACTGCTCATATTTAATTTATTGACATGAAATTTTTTTCATTATTTTAACTCAAAAAAAGTTTTAGCTGGTGTATTTCTTGCCAATAATCAATTATCCATAAAGAAAAAAGCATTTTATCTTCTTGTTTTTAAGAAAAGGCTGTTGGAAATTTTCAAAAATTTCAGTTTTTTAGTGAGCTGCCTCACTTGGACCTGGCCTTAAATACCAACCAAACGTTTGGTTGTCAATACCAAACCTTTTTTCCAGTGTACTTCTAATATATGGGATATTAGTTGCATTCATATAATATAATCATATACATTCATATATGAGTGACTCTTCAGTAAACTCGTAATTTTCAAGGAAAAAAATTTTTTTTTAGTAACTAAAAATTTTATTTCTTTTATCAACTTCTATTTATTAACATAAAATAATAGTGATAATTGAACTGATAACAAAATTATTTTAGAGAAAGAAGATTTTTTTACTGATAAAAAAAACTTTTAGCTGTTAAAATAAAGCGAGAAACTAACCTCAATATTAGTGATCTAAACACGAAACTATATTTCATTCGGTCGGTAAAACAGAAATCAGGTAAAAGTCATTAAATTGATTTTTTGTATGAAAAAATCATGGAATTTCCTTAAATTTCTGTAATTTTGAAATAAATTATGAAAATTAGAGCAAAAAAAGGCCGTCATTTTAATTTCTGCCCTTAAACTATAGCAGAATTTAAAATCGCTTTGTTTTTGCTCTATTTTTTAGTAAAAATAAGAAAAAAAAGCGCGTTCATTTTAATTTCTGCTGTAATTTTTTAATAAAAAAAAGTACAATATCTGTCCTATTTTTACGAAAAACGAGAGCAGAAATTAAAATGATGCTGTTTTTGTTCGAATTTTACAAAAATTTTATTTAATTTTTCGAAAAATAGAGCAGAAATGACGTCATTTTAATTTCTGACCTATCTGTACAAAAAACTAGAGAAGAAATTAAAATACTGCTATATTTACGTCGTATTTTTAATGACGTCATTTTGATTTATGCTTTATTTTGACGGAAAAATATATAAAAAACGGCCTCATTTTAATTTCTGACCTATTTTTTTAAAATCCTAGATCAAAAATTAAAATGGCGGCGTTTTTGCTTATATTTTGCCGTAAAACTGGAACAGATATTACAGTGGCGCCGTTTTTGCCGTATTTTTACTGCAAAATTAGAGCAGAAATTAAAATGACCGGGTTTTTTTTCATATTTTTACGGAAAAATAGATCAGCAACAGCGCCATTTTAATGTCTGCTCTATTTTTTTTTGTAGAAATAGAGCGATAATGGCAACATTTTAATTTCTGTCCTATTTTCACGTAAAACTATAGCAGAAATTAAACTGACGCCGTTTTTGTTCTAATATTACAAAAAAATAGAGTTAAAATTAAAATGGCGCTGTTTTTTCTCAATTTTTCCGTAAAACTAGAGCAGAAATTAAAATGGCACCATTATTATTTTTTCGTCAGTTTAATTTCTGCTCCAGTTTTTCGTAAAAATACGACAGAAATTAAAATCTCGCCATTTTTGTTCAATTAATTTACGGAAAAATAGTGCAACAACAGCGCCATTTTAATTTCTGCTCTAGTTTTTGCGTAAAAATGGGACAAAAATTAAAATAACATCGTTTTTGTTCTATTTCTACAAAAAACTAGAGCAAAAATTAAAATGGCGCTGTTGTTGCTTTATTTTTCCGTAAAATTAGAGCGAAAAATTAAAATGACACCGTTGTAATTTGGCGTCATTTTAATTTCCTCTCTAGTTTTGCGGAAAAATAGAGCAATACATCATTATATTAAGTTACCATAGTAAATAATATGTCAGGAAAACCTTTTAAGGATTTCTTTGAAAAGTCATTATATTATATTATATTAAAATTATCTACAAGAATTATAATATGTCTTAGAATTATTATGTTGAAAAATATTCTAAAAAGTATATTCGAAAAGAAATTTTATTTTGTTTTTTTTTAGAATATTTGCAATATACATTTAAAATTATTATTTTCTTTAAGCACTAAATAAGACTAGAAAATACAAATTTTTAACATATTATATACATTTTATTGTTTACAATCTAGATAAAATACTGATCGTCTTTTTGAAATTTATTTTATTCACAGCTCTAAATTTACTTGTCATCACAAATATAATTTTTGTTCTAGAAATAGACAGAATATTTTAGTTAAGCGCGAATTCAATTTTAAATTTCATTACTCATATGTTGTTATAGATATATAAATAATTTAACAATCTTTGGTAACTTTTTTAATTACATTATACATTTAGTTTCTATTTAAATAAAACTTTTAACAAAATTGACCTAAATTGACATATTAAAATTTTTGTTATTAAACATCAAGTAGACCCCTTTTATTCCAATTTGGTAATCGTTTGCCAATAACATGTCGAAACATTTTACCACTGTAATAGCCACTATCTTGAAATTCTCCATTGGCATCTAACATTTCATCGAAACTCTTTGCATCGTCTTTATTAACTAAAACAATTGGCAATACAGTAAGCGATGCAATTAAACCAAACATTTCACGTTCTTTTAACATTTTTTTTAATGCATCAAGTGAAAGTGGTTCTTTTTTACATCCACTGAGATGCATCCAATTTGAAAGTGAATTTATATATTCCTTAAGAAGTAATTCCATACTGTCCTCATAGACCTCATATGATACACTTGTATTGAGGAAATAGTGAAGATCAATGGCCGGAGAACCGTAAACGCACAATTGAAAATCCACCTGAAATCAGTCGACCGAATCGAGTTGAGTTTCAGCACGTATTGAATTGGAAATAGAATCGTATGGGGAAAAGAAGAGGAATTTGTGTTTCGGAAGTAGTCCAAGTCGAGGGTGCTGACGCGACGTAAAAGTGGGGCAGGTGGATGTCTACTCGAGTGCAGTCGAATCCAATCGAATTGAACTCACTGCATTATTCATATTGCATGATTTTTCTTCTGAGACGCGTTCACCACCAGTGAAACCCCGTGAAATTCAGATTTTTTTTTTTTCTTTTTTTTTTTGTTAAAGGTGACGCGCTCTTTAAAGTTGAAGAATGTTCATTAAAAAAAAAAAAGAGGAAAAAAAACTCTATGCACCAAAATTACTCTAGATAGAAGATGAATTGAATTTAAATTTTTATTCTACTTTGGAGTTATATGTTTTTTTAATTTTGAGAAATGAAACACAAAAAATATAGAAACATTTATAGCAAGTTGTGATTTAAATTTGGCGCTTTATGCGGAAATTGACTCTAGCGAACCTGGTGAGTGATATCCGCAACTAATGTTTAACTAATGTCTATAAAGGCCTTAAAATGTTTCTTATGAAAATTAAGGAGGAATGGTACACGTTAACATAACCTCAAAACTTAGAAATTGTTTTTTAACAATTAAACGCAAACAAAATCTTCTAAAATTGGTTGTAATTAATTTTAATCATGATTTTGTTTGCGTTAAATTGTTAAAAAACAATTTCTCATTTTTGAGGTTATGTTAAAGTGTAACATTCCTTCTTAAAAATACACTTCCAAAAAAAATTTTGTATAAAATAATATTTTTACTAAATCATTCAAATAGTTAAATACACAATTTGCGAGTTAAACAATTTTTTAGGTTATGTTGCAAAATAACTTAAATTTTAATGAATTTCTATTCCAAATTAATTCTGATAGTTTTTGACTACTATTATAGTTATTTTTTTACTAGCTGATAAATCAAAAAGTCTGCTAAAATTTTTATCAAAAATTAGTTAATTTTAACTATCTATATCTAGATTTAGGGGAATAATGTGAAAAAGTTTGAAGAAACGTTAAAATTTTAATGAAATCCAATTTCGGTTTTGATTTAGTATTAAATTCTAAGTTTATAACTTATCTAACAAATGCACTTTAGGAAAACTAATGCTTTTCTCTTAAGTCCCAAAAGTGCAAACTTAGAACGACTTAGTGATTCCTATATATATATATGACTAAGTCAACACCACGTTATTATAATCTTTGATGATGCAGTTTATAAGTACCAAATTCTCAAAATTCTATAGAGTTTATCAACTATTTCCTTATTAATAATTATCATTATTACTATTAATATCTATAAATATAATTAATTGAAAAAAAAACAAAATTTCACCGCAAAAAAAAAAATGTAAATTTTTTTAACTTAAAAACTAATAAAAATGATTTTCTTTTTGGTTTTCCCATAATGGAGTAATCAATATTTCTTATATATAAATAGATTCTTCAAAGAAATATCATGCAATATAATATGCGAATTAAATTCATGTATGGATTGCAATTAATTTTGTGAAAAGTTTTCATATAAATCTTGGTAGTTTTTTTTTTTTTTCTTTAAAATACTCGCGCGTTTCTCTCTCTAAATATATGCGGGTATGTGTATAAGTAGAAGTTAGTAAACTTACGAAAATGTGATCAATCACTTTCCCATGATTGTCGTACCGGAAAAGCATGTTATTTACCCAAAAGTCACCATGATTTATCACATGAAACTCGTCTTTTTTCAATTGACTTGCTTCAATTCCTTTTTTGTAAGCTACTTCACCTAATTTTAATAATTTTCCTGAAATTCTAAAAAAAAAACAAAATTTATTTGAAAACAAAATTGAAATTTTTGCTATAAATTAAATAAAAATTAAAGTAAATAAAGTCACAGGGTGAAAAATGGAAAAATGAATAAAGTAACTTTTACTATTTTAAAAGTAAAAGTTGAACTGTCCGCAGTTTCTGCGTATTTCTGGCAATTTTTACTCCACAAAATAGTAAAATTTACTATTTACGGAATAATTTTTACTAATTTAGATGTAAATTTATTTCTGGAGGTAAAAATTTACAGAAACTGCGGACAGTTCAGATTTTAAGTAGAATTTTTTTTTTTGTATTTACTTACTCAGGATCAAATTCAGACCAATTTGCAACTTCTTTAGCCAATGATTTTACGCTTGAATTAAAAAATTGACCCATTTCTGGACCATGAGAATTATTAAACATTCCCTTATTAAAAATTTCCTTTGTTTTTGGCTCCTGAAAATAATATAAACTATGAAAAAAAAATATATATAACAATAATAAATATTAAATGGTTTATGTTAATTAAAATAATGACAAATTAGGTTAAAGAAAAGAAAAAAAATTTTTTTTTTCAAGGAAACATAATCTTCTTTTTGCATAATTTAACATCCGGATTTAGTGGTTGGGTTTTTATAACTGTTCTGAAACCACCTCATTAAAGTAGTCGTATAACATCGCTATAAAGCAAGAACCGCGAAACGTTCTCTAATTAGCTAAAGGGGTGAAAGTTTAACATTTGAAATTTTGCAACAGAGCAAAATTATGCAGATAGTTTGCAGGGCTATAAACGTTATTTGATTTTATTCGATACATTTTGTGCCATCAAAATCATCATAGATCACATGTGAGATTTTAATTTAAAAAATATTTTTTTTTAAACTGGATTATTTTTTTCGTAGTCTTTATATGAAAAATAAGAAAATATGTATTTTTTTATTTCTTTATATTTGATAAAAATTATGGAAGTTATGATTTTTTTTCAATTTAAACTAGTTTTGAAGCAAAGATGCCAAGAAATGTCACCAAACGCAACTGCGCTTGCGCTAATATTATTCCCTCATTGGTAGAAAAAGGCGCTCTTATTTAAAATGCTTTAATTTAAAAAAAAATGTTTAAGAATAATAATAAATAAATTTTACATAATAAAATTACTGGTTTTTTTAATTAAAAAAAAATTTAAGTTTTTTTATTTTTAATTCTAATGTTTATTTATAAAAATTAATTTTTATTAATTATTTTGTGATTAATTTTATCGAATAAAAAAAAATTGTTCAAATAGAAATTCTGTTAAATCAATTATTGGCTAAGTAAAAATAATCGTAATATGAAAAATCGGTTAAATGAAAATTCAAGCAAATAAAAATTTTAATAAACGAAAATTCTAACAAATAAAAATGTTAATGAATAAAAATTTAATCTAATAAAAATTCTGTGAAGTAAATGTTTGGTTATATAAAAATTCTGTAATATAAAAAATCAGTTTAATGGAAATTTTGTTAAAAAAAATTATTCGAACAAATAAAAATTCGACTAAAAAAAAAAATTCTATCTAATGAAATTCTATCAAATAAAAATGTTAACAAATTAATTTTAGGTATTATTTATGCGTCTCATAAATATTAGAAGAAAAATATTTCAGTACCCCTTAAGACCAGGTCCAAGTGAGGCAGCGCCATCTACATTAAAACTATAATTTTGGAAAATTTTTAACAGCCTTTTCTCGAAAACAAGAAGGTAAAATGCGTTTTTCTTTATGGATAATTGATTATTAGCAAGAAATACACCAGCTAAAACTTTTTTTGGGTTAAAATGATGAAAAAAATTTCATGTCGATATAAATTAAATAAGAGCAGTTTTTTCACAAAAACCGTAACAGTACAATTTCCATTTGGAAAATTAATAAACGTTAAACAATAGACCAGCTAAGATTCACCAATCACGAAAATAACAACAAAAAATTTTATTACATATTTAACATATGGACACTGTTTTACTGATTGTGACAGCCCTTTGGTAGATTATGTATTTCAGGTGGTTAGCAACAGCGCCAATCTCCTCCTTTTGGCAAAATTGCGAAACGTCTGGTGACATATATAACCTGCCAAACGGCTGTCATAATTAGTAAAATATGTTTTGTTAAAAAACTTTTTTTTTTGTTATTTTCGTGATTGGTAAATCTTAGCTGGTGTATTTTTTAGCGTTTATTAATTTTCCAAATGGAAATTGCATTTTTGATTGTAATTTCTGAGAAAGTACTGTTACAGTTTTTGTGAAAAAGTGCTCATATTTAATTTATTGAAATGAAATTTTTTTCATTATTTTAACTCAAAAAAAGTTTTAGCTGGTGTATATCTTGCCAATAATCAATTATCTATAAAGGAAAAAGCATTTTATCTTCTTGTTTTCAAGAAAAGGCTGTTGGAAATTTTCAAAAATTTCAGTTTTTTAGTGAGCTGCCTCACTTGGACCTGGCCTTAATGTTTCGTGTTTGGATCACTAATTTGAGGTTAGTTTCCTGTTTTACTTTGACTGATGAAATGACTCAGAAATCTAATTTTTAAAAGTGGGAAATTTTAAAGAAAGCACATAAAATCATTAAAATTAACAATATTTTTTTTTGTCTGATTTCCAAAAAAAGTTGTAAACTAAAAAAATGTGGATTTTTTTTTAAATAATTATAATTATTTAGAAAATCTTGAGGACATGTAAAAGGAATATTTCGAGAAAACCATCCAGATATTATAATATATTCTATATGCGATCTCACGTGGAATAGAAATTGTACACAAACTTTTAATTAAAATATACTATAATTCGAAGCATGCACATTTTGATTACAACTTTTACAAGCTCAAATATCATTCTCTCCACTTATTGTTTTCGATTGCTGAATCTTATTGCTTTAAATATAAAAAAAAAAAAAAAAAAAAATTGAACGCAAAAGTGAAATTCCATCCGTATGGAGTTTGAGATTGCATAAGTTTTCACGAGATAATAAAGTTCTCAACTTTTTTTTATTTGTTGGCCTCTTAAAAAAGTACAAGTGGGTTATTGGTCAATTAAAGAATTTACTTCAATCTTAGTACTTCAGGAAGGAGGAACTCATAAACTTTTCTTGTAAAAAAAAGGAAAAGAAAAAGAAAGAAAGGTATAGTGAAACTTTATGTTAAGGAAAAAAAAAAGTTTTATCTATATAGATAAATGATCATTTTTTTTAGAAAAAAAAAAGTATAAAAATTTTGAAAAATTGTTTCACTTTTTTTTGTATCTGGCAAAGAATATTGTTTCTAATTTAGAGTGAAGCGTATAAGATTTTTTTCATTTTCTCAATCTATTTCACAAAATCACGTACGACAGTATCAGGGGATAATAAAAGATATTGAACTTTGGTTGCTCCCCTTTCAAATTTACCCATGTCCTACTAACTTCTCGTGGCGTTGAAAGTTCTGTCGAAACTGCGAGTTCGACTCGTTTTCATGAAAAAAAAAAAAGAAAAAAAGTCAGACTTGAACGGAAAACGTAGACTTTTATTGCCACCGTTGCCAACAAAGGGTGCCTCGACCTTGCGTATCTACTTAAAGTTTAACCGTGTCATGTGACTACCAACCATTTTCTCTAATGGTTTCCCATCTTATTTTCATGGACGTTCAACTATATATGGTATAGACAAGAGTGGACAACAGTAGATCACTTTTTTTTCAAAGCCATATAGTAATATTTTAATTTAAAATTTTTTTTTGAACAATTTTTTGTATTTGGCGAAAAGTAAATAATACATTTTTTTAAATAATCCACACGTTATTTTAAGATTTTAACTATATGATTAAATATATAAAAATTTTAATTAATTTTACTAAAATTTTAATTATTTTTAATAAAAATTTGAAGCAAAACTTGATAAATTTATTTTGGAGGTTATGGCTAGTATACAGTGGATCACTGCTATTTAATTAACCAACAAGTATTTCAATATAATAATATTATAATTATATGAATATTTCAAGTAATCACAAAATTATTTTATTATTAGAAAGACTTTTACTGATAAGTTACTTTCAGCCATGAAGTAGTATAAGGAGACCGAACGACGTACATTGAAAGTGGAACAAATTTTGGTATCCGCTTAGGGTCATGAAAATACGTAATGGAACACAAGCGCTCTCGTCGGAAGTATGTAAACAGTGGGAAAAATTAGAAGTACATTGAACATAACCCAAAAATACATTGCTCCTTATTTTTAAAACTTTTACAATGGCTGACTGTCCAGCTGAGTTTAACACAATCAGTGGCGCCAGTGTTCCATTACGTATTTTCATGACATTAAGCGGTTACCAAAATTTGGTCCACTTTTAAGGCCAGGTCCAAGTCGAGTCAGCTGTTCCATTGAAACTTCAAAGGAACAGCTGACTCGACTTGGACCTGGCCTTAACGCAGATTTAACATGGTCGTTTGGTCAAAATAAAACAGGAAACTAACCTCAAATTAGTGTTCCAGTCACGTAACATCAACAAATACTGAAATATTTATCTTTTTCTAATATTTATTAATTATTATCATTATTACCAGTAATAAATTAATTAAATAATAGTAATTTAATGAAAATAATAAAGATAATATAATAATTATTATTTTATTATTATAATAATATTATTATTATATACTTAAATACGTTAAAAAAATTAAAATTGATTAGAAAGTATTATATTGAAAAAAAACAATGAATTCAATAGTGAAAATGTTTTTATATTGCTTTCTTATAATAAAGCATTTCATATAAAACGCACTTTTTTTTGCCAATGTGAGAGTTATTGTGGCGCATGCGCAGTTGCGTTTATATACGGTCATTGCCAACTCTGTTTATTGGTACACGGAAAAAAGAAAAGGTAATTTTTACTACTTTCAGAGTAAAACGGGAAATTGTTCGAAGTTTCTGCGCATCTCTGGCAACATTTATTCCAAAAAAAAGTAAAATTTACTCCAGAAATAGTAAAAATTACTACGGAAACATTAAAATTTACTACAAAAATAGGAAATTTTACTTTTTTTTGGAATAAAAATTGCCAGAGATGCGCAGAAACTTCGGACAGTTCTCGTTTTACTCTGAAAGTAGTAAAAATTACTTTTTCTTTTTTTCCGTGTAACTTCTGCGCATCTTTGTGCGCAACTGTGCACAAAAAATTAGTTAAAATCAAAAAAAACGAAAATTTTTTTGTCCAACACACTACACTAGTGTATTTCCATGTATTTTTTCCCGCTGAATCCGAATTCGAAGCCAGAAATGTCAAATTGGCTCAAAATTTTGAGATAAACTCAAAAAACTTTTTGATTTTAAATCACTTTTGTGCACAGTTTTTTGAGTTTATCTCAAAAGTTTGAGCCAATTTGACATTTCTGGCTTCGAATGTTATTTATAAATAAAATAATAAAATAACCTTTTCAATGTGTAAAAAAAAATACAGTTGTCATTACATAATTATAAATCACTAAAAAAAAAAAAATCATAAAGAAGTGTTTTTTACCCAAAAAATACTATTAACAATTTTTAAGCTAGATGCAAAGATTTACATTGTGTATTTCTAAAAATAATACAAAAACAAATAAATGATAAGAGAGAAAATTATATTTTTTTAAAATAAATATATAAAAATCTGAGTATTACTAAAAGAAAACTATAATAAATATTATTTTAACGGCAGAAAACACCACTTTAAACAGGAAAAAGTTGCTTATTTAGTATAGTGACCAAAAAAAAAAAAATTCCAAAAATGACTAAATTTAATTTTAAAATCAAATTCAAGGATGAATGATAATATTTGAATTTAAAATACAAAGGTTGAATGTATATAATTGATTTTTTTTTAAAGAGGGTGTTCTCTAATTCTTGAGTCAAGTGTATACTGAAGATTCTCCCCCTTTGCATGAGAAAATGTCCAACAGGTGGTGGTTGAGTTCAGTGAACTAGTCAAGGAAATGATTCATCAGCAAATAACAAACATTATTTCAAAGATTAGAATATAATAATCGTTTAATGAACCAATGATGATGTAATTGTTCAGAGACAAAAAAAAATTCTCAAAATGTATGAATATATTTTTAAAATCATTTATCTCAGTGTCATTTAATTTTTAATTCTTTTATTTTAGTGGTTTGGTAATTATAACGTGAAAATGAATTTGTTTTTTTTTCATCTTTAAAAATGGTAATTTCTTTTTTTTTGTTAAAGCAATATTTTTCAGAATGTTTCGATTTGTAATATGTGTGTCAAGAATACAGTAAAAAAAAAAACAAGGAGATAATAAGTGTGACAGACCTTTTCACAAATTGCAATAGAACATGCGTGAAACCTTGCTAGTTCTCTGAGAGCCATTAAACTGTGATCTATGTCAAGTCCAGCTTGTCGATTAGCCATACGAAATCCCATTGGTGCTAAATCGTCAAATATAAGAAGTGTAGGATTCGTTTTTTGAATGTAATATCCTTTGGCATTAAATGGTTTAATGTTCCCTAGAATTTCATTCATCTTTGGCAATGTCTCTGTCATCATTATCATTTCCGTGCTAAAAAGACCTGCTTTTTCGACCTGTATATTTAAAATAGAAAAAAAAATGATTAAAATGCTTTTTATTGTCATGCAATTTTAAACTCAGAAAAAAATTTCTTTGAAATAACCAAATTTTAGTTGATTTAATCAAATTTTTATATTTGGTTTAATAAAATTTTTATTTCATTGGAAAAATTTATTAAAATAAACCAAACATTTATTTAGATCAAATAAATTTATTTGAATTAGTGGCAATTTTCACTAATTTGAATAATTAATTGTTTTGTTGATTTCTAATTAATTAAGTTTTGATAATTTTATAAATAATAATAAATACAATTAATATTAAGAAATTTATAAATTATAAAAAAATGCCATTTTCACATTTAATTGGTTAAATTTTACTAATTCAAATTATTTAAATTTTTCCGAATTTTTCACTAAATTCAGTTCTTGAGATTTCATTATTTCTTTACAAAAAATTTTTTTCAATTAAAAATTTTATAACTGTCTAACAAATTGACGTTTTTCAAAAATTCAATAAATCCCTAATACATATATATCTTTGTTGGAAAAAGATTTGAATATATAGGTCAACAGATGCAGTTTTAAGGTGTCTGGGACTTTTTTTAGAATATAGAATATCAGAACTGATATAAAAATGTTAAACTAAAATTGTCCAAGAAGACATGATTTTATAAATATTATAATTTCATAAAACGTCAATAACTTTGTAATATTTTATACTAGTAAAAGGTTCACAAAGAGGTCAATTAATGAATTTTTAAATATTCTCCATATATTCTGGTTTATAATAGTTTTGAAGATAAAGATTTTTTAAAAAAAATTTAAGCAGTCACATTTTTTAATTAATTTTTAAAATATCAACCCACATTTGTCACTTTGTGAAAACATAATATAATTTTGTTTTTTGTAACACTATAGCAAAATATAAATATGTTCAAAGTATAATTTTTTAAGAATGTCCAACGGTCATAAACATTGATTTTAAAATAGTTTTTTCTCGAAACACGGACACTTTTTACAAAATCGACCAAAATGCCAAGGATCTTTATTTTATAAATTACCAAAATCCGAAAGATTATGTGAATCTATAAAAAAAACGCGATTTTAAAACGAAAATTAGGAAAGTAATATAATAACAGCTGTGACTTTGTGCTCCCTGCATGCTTCTGCCATCTGACGGCGACAGGACGTAATGAACCTGTCATTATATTATTTTTTTTAGTTTTTCTAGTAAATTATTAATTGTAGAGAAAATTGGTAAAAAGAAAAAAAATTCCTTTTTTTTAACATTTACAAATTCCATCTAATGAAATTTTTTCTTGAAGAAAAGTTGAGTTTTTGTCACAAGTTAAAATTAAATGGAATTTAGGTCAAATAAGATTTATGCCATTTTAGATTCGTCAGATATTCATGTGTCTCAAAAAATTATATGTCGAAAAAAAATTACAATCGAAAATTTTTATCTACAATACAATGTAATTCCTCTGATATGAGGAAGTATAATAATAAATATTTCGAAAGATTATGAAATCTCAATTCTAATAATAATAATATATCAGACATAAAAAATAAATCAATAAATAATAAACAAAGAATTGATTTGTAGGCATTTTTACATAATTCTCTAGCAATATTATTTTTTTCATTATTTAAAAGCAAAAAAAAAAAAAATGTATTATTTTTTAAAAATATTTTTCAATATTATTTACCATTTCGCGTGTTTTTTCTTCAGCGGGTACAATTTTAATGATAAGAGACTTTTTCTCAGTGACATTGCGACTACCAACTTTTCTTGATAATTCAACAGTGACACGAATCATTTGACTCGTATAGTTATCACCTTTATCCGTAGCAGCTTTTGTGAATATATCGTGCACCTGAATCGAGTCATCATTCTCTCCTATTCTGAGGGCCTTTCCCACAAAATCTTGGTTCAGCCATGACAGTGTCCCTTGGGCCATTTCTGAAATTGGAATGAGAGGAAAATCGAAGAATTTCTTCAACAAATCATTGTTCCCTTTCTAGAATCCTTATATAAAGCCACCCAACCACCCAACTCTCCCCCTCCTTTCGCCCCTTTATCCATCCACCCACCACGCAATTCTTCAGAGAAACTTATTGTTCACTCAAAGATTTATCGCTTCTTCCGATATTCGCGGGAGCATTCTCCAAGAAACTTTAGGATTCGGCTTCAATTAGAATCGCGCAATCGAAGAAAAACAGAGAGAGTGAGAGAGAGAGAGAGAGAGAGAGAAGAGTCGCTATAGTAGTCGAAAATTTAAATCCAAGAAACTCGAAGCGAAAACTGTTTACGTTATATCCTGTGAACTCTTTTGAGAATTTAGGAAATTGTTATTGTTTGTACTTTTAAACAATTTGACATAAAAATTTGATATTATTTTCCATTTTGGATTTAATTTAGTAAATTTTTGAAATAGGAACTATACACTCAGGTAATTACTCCCTTTTTTTAATTAATTTTAATAAAATATAAAAGTTGCAAAGAAATTCTAAAATAAATTATTACGCCTTAACATTAAGGTTATGTTAAGTTTTATGTCGAAATATTTCAGAAAAATATTCAAAATTTTATTTATAAATTGTTATAAATTATATCGTACCTTTATTATAAATCATAAATGAATCAAATTTTGAATATTTTTCTTAAGGAGAATGGAGGCCTTAACATAACCTCAAAACTGAAAAATGGTTTTAAACGCAAACAAAACTTTTATTAAAAAAACTGAATCTTCTAAAATTGTTTGAAATTTAAAAAAAAAAATTTTTTTAAATTGTTTGAGTTAAAAACCACTTTTCAGTTTTGAGGTTATGTTAAGGCCATGTTGGATTCCTCGGAACCGTCATTTTTAATTTCATAATTCTGATGTTAAATTCGTAATCAGCGACCCCGAAAACCCCCCGAGTGACTAGTTTTAAGTAAAACTGATGAACTTATAAAAAAATTCCGCCATTTTGAATTTTGTAATATTTACGAGCAATTAGTAGTCAACGGCACCGAATATGTGAAGAACAGTTGGAAATTTTCGTAGTTGTGGTAATATTTTTCTTAATTATCTCTTATATTATAAACTAATTCTAATTAGTTTAATTAATCTGAAATTCTAATTATCTGCGAATTTATTTTAAGTTGGGTATCGAATTGAGTAACCGACGAACTTCAAGTTAGTCAAAATAATCCTGCACGGAATTTCAGATTTCTAGGTTGGCAGCATTTTGCACGATAATTTTGAATTACAATTATTTTTTCTAATATTTTAAAAAGATTTTATTTACCAGTATTAATTTTTTAATTTTGAAGTTAAAAAAAAAATAAATTATTATTTATTACAATAATAAAATAATTTCATAAGTTTTGAAATTTAGCGTCATTATTAAAGTTGTCACTACCGCGTTTCTGCTGTCAAAACACATGTTTTCATTTTTCTAACCTAAAAACAAATTTCACTTTATTATGCAATCACAAGCAGTTTTCAATTAAGATAAATAAGAATAGTATTTTATTTACGTCTGGTAATTATTATATTTTATGGATTTGTGCAAAAATATTCGTTATTTCACAATATTTTCCATTTTCTCTTAATTTTTGAAAATGAATCACATCTATTTTGTATACTTAACACAAAACCGTAACATAACATAACCTCAAACTAAAAAATAATTATTCACAGAATTAAAAATATATTTAAAATTTGTTAAACCAAATTTTGAAAGATTTAGTTTTTGTAAATTTAAAAAAAAAAATGTATTAAGTCAAAATTTATTAGAAACTATTAATTATTTAACATTTTTTGTTTTTTTCTTAAAAATTATGAACGTTCAAATGAACGAAATCATTATTTTAGAGTTTATAAATATTTAAAAAAAAATTACTACGGCAATAATAAATAAAATATTACATTAAACAATTTAATAATAAAAATAAATAAATAAAAATATTATTGTATTTTTAAATACAAAAAAGCAATATTTCATAATAAAATTAAAAATTAAAAATGTAGTAAATAAATTTTTCGTACATTTGAATATTCAGAATTTCAGATACATTTCACTTATGTAGAATACGCGATTTTTTAGTTAAGATTCTCAATTTTTTCAAAATTATTCTTCATTAAGAAAAAAGTTACTTAATTTTATTAATGAAAATTTATAAATTAATACTAAAATTAAACTTCAATATTTACATTCTCATCATATATATATATGGGTGATTCTACAAACGAAGGATGAAAATGAAGAAAATATGGATACAACATTTTTTTCTCATTTAAGGTCTGAAAAGTACTTTAACTTGAAGTTAATGACACTAAAAAAGATATATCTGAAAGTGAACAGACAAAATATTAAAAATTACAAAAGTTATGGTTGTTTATAAACAATTTATCCAGGAAATTAAGATCGTGTATAGAAAATTCACATTAATACAAAAAATAATGGATGGATTTATACAAAATTTATTACTCGGGGGTTTTCGGGGTCGCTGATTACGAATCCGAGGTCAGTTTTTCAAAATTCAAAATGGCGAATCCAATATGGCGGACAAATATTTAAAATCACTGGAAACTACTTACTTGGTAACTTTGAAGGGTCGCTGATAACGATTCCGACGTCAGTTTTTCATATTTAAAATGTGCGAATCTAATCTATTAAACGAATTTTTAAAAAATTGTTTGATTTTTATTAAATTTGAAATCCAGAAGTTTTTAAATTATTGAAAACTAATCTAAAGTTCAATTTTTTAAATTCCACAATTTTTAAGATATTTCTTTAAAATAGTCAAATTTTGAAAATCTGGCTTGAAGCTCGTAATCTGGTAATTATAAAAAGAAAAAGTATGGAATGAAACATTTTTTGCACGTATAATTTTGATAAACAGGTTAATTTAAATTAATAAGTTTTTTTCAAAATTTGTTCGCCATATTGGATCTGCCATTTTGAATTTTAAAAAACTGACGTCGGATTCGTAATCAGCGATCCCAAAAACCCCTGAGTAATTATTTTCAGACAAATATATTAAGTTTTTTCAAAAGTCGTCCGCCATTTTGAATTTTGAAAAACTGACGTCGGATTCGTAATCAGCGACCCCGAAAACCCCCGAGTAACGAATTTTACAAGGATCAATAAAAGGTATCGCTTTAATTAATAATTTGTTTATATAATTTGTTTATAACAAATTACGTGTGTTCTACTAGAACATAATTTTACAGATCACAAATCTGTAGGAGTACTTTAAGTGTCTAATAATAAAAAATATTTCGATTTTATTGTGATATTCATACGATTCACAGGAAAAAAGTACTTTTTATTTGTTTATTTATATTAATATAATTGTATATACAAAATGAAAATTAAAGATTGGGGTTTAGCAATATCTTAAAAATTTAGTGAGGATTATTTTAAGTCAAGAAAATCGAAAATTGTTAAAAAATTATTAGTTTTACGCTGTTTTTAGTGATTAATGTATATCCTGTCTCAAAAGTGCCAGACGAATGAGAATTTGGCTGTTTTTTTTTTTAAAAAAAAAGGTAGAAACAACATTAAATAAAAAATAAGCAATTCTATCCGATAGAGAATTCAAATTTGCAATACATAAGCCTATAAAAGGACCTAAAAATAATATTTTTTTCAAAAAAATTGATGCCAGACGAATGAGAATTTGTCTGGTCACAACGCAATTTTGGTCACAAATTGAGAAATCTTGGTTAATAGAATAACAAATTAAATAAAACTCGCGTGCTATCACATTTAGTTTAGTTTAATTAACAACAATAACGAACTGTAACTTCATTAGAATGTATTGATTTTTAATAATTTTAACGTGTTTTCAACTGCCAGACGAATGATAACAAAATCTAGGGACAAAGTTCGAGAAGATATTTTATAAATAAGATTTAGAGTAATGTCATAATTATTTCCACTATAATAATCTACAACTATACAAAATTACAAATCCAGTATGAATTTTCCGCTAAACACTTCAGGGTGTCTAACGGTCAGGGAAAAGTCAGGGAATTTCAGAAAATTTCATTCAAAGTCAGGGAAATTTCTGTAAATTTCTACAAAAATTAAAATTTTTTGTGAATTGAAAAATTTTTAAATCTAAAAAAAACTTGAATGGTTTTTATTACCATTTGTTACTACCATTAGAAATTAATTTATCGTTAAATATGTCAGTAATCATATTTTTGTCCAAAAAAAAGCAGAAATAAGGTTATTAAAAAGTCAGGGAAAAATCAAAAAATGTTAGGGAGGAGTCAGGGAATTTTTTTCTCAATCTTTGTTAGACACCCTGCACTTGAAAAATAATATTTTTTCACAATATAAACTGTCATTTTCACTGTGGGACATGCCAGACGAATGAGAATTTAGCACTTTGATGTGTATTTTTTGCAAGAAATATTTTTTTTCTCTCTAAATCTGAATTAGTAAAAAAGTTTACTAATTTGAATTAGTGACTCACTTTTTGCTTTAGAATTAGTTAAATTTTACTAATTGTTAGTAAAAGTTACTAATATTTAGTAAAATTTTACTTTAGAATTAGTTAAATTTTACTAATTGTTAGTAAAAGTTACTAATATTTAGTAAAATTTTACTAATTGAGAAGCAAAAAGTGAGTCACTAATTCAAATTAGTAAACTTTTTTACTAATTCAGATTTAGAGAGTTCATCGGCTGCTTTTTAGTGCCACAATAGAAACCATTTAGATTTACAATTTTCATTAAAAAAAAAAAAATTATTTTTTTCAAAATTAATATACAAAATAAGCTTGACCGCTCATAATTCCCTCGTTTGTAGAATCACCCATATGAGATGGTATATAATTCATTTCAATGTCCTTGTTTATAATTACACACTTTTTTTAAAAAAACACAAATTACTATATAGAGGAATTAAAAAAAATAAACTTTAAATAAAAATATTTATCCACTTTCCGCAATTAAAAAAAAAATTCAGATTTCAAAAACCATATAATACACGTAATTTTAAAAAAAGTTTTTCATAGTTTTAGAACCGTTTTTGTAATCTTTCTTTTTTATCGCGTTTTTTATTACATATATTAATAATATCCGTAAAAAATATCTCTCTCTCTCTCATCACACTGATGGGTTATCATTTTATAATCGACACTTAAATTGGTTAGAAAATTGCTCGTTCGATTTATTGGCACTGACCTGTAGAAATGAGTTCTTGAAACTATATATATATATACAACACTTTATGAGATTGAACAATTATTATACTGTCGACACGAGATACGTTCGAGAAGAAAGCGCGTTTAGATCTGACATGTGCCGTTCATGTTCTCATGCTTTGTATTTATATGCCGCGCAAATTTTCTTAGATCATAAAAAAAAAAAAAAAAAAAAAAAAAATTATCAAAACGTTGATGTCAGATAACAATTGGATGGCACTTTAAAAATTCTTTCGCATTGTCATTCTTGTTAATAATTTTTTGCTCTTCACATTACAGTGAAAAAAATTGTATTCTAAATATATATATATATTTTGGTTTCTTAAGATTAACATTGTAATAATAAAAATAATAATAATAATATATAATAATGGGCTTACGAATGGGCATTGCCCGTATATTTTCAATAAATAAATAAATAATAATAATATTAATAATATTAATAATAATAATAATAATAATAAAAAAAATAGTAATAGTAATAGTAGCATACAATAATATTCTTATAAATTGAGAGTACTTGCTTCTTATTTTAAGAATATTGTATTTAAGTTATGTACAAGTGAAGAGCTTTTTATTTTATAATTATAATTATTTTTTCACATTATTAGACAAATAAAGTGTCATTCTGTAGTTTTATTATTTTTTTCATTTTCACATGGTGAGAAAGAAAAATTTTTATTTTTTACTTTAAAAAAAAGGCGGCCATAAATTAGTCAATAATTTGCTTATACATTTTTACAATTTCGACGAAAAAAAAAAAAATCAATTTTTTTTCATTTTTCGTTAAAAATATTATTTATTTTTTGAAACTATTGTTGACCTCATTTTGCACTTGTCTCGAACACCAAATGGACAAATTGCACCAAGTATCATTATCTCATAAAATGATCGTACAGAGATGATTATCCTAAGTATGATATACCTTTAATAGGAAATACTTAAAGCAATAATAATTCACCACTGCACAAACAAAAGTTATAATTTCAATAATATTGCGTTGATTTAATTATTGTTTTAAAAATTTTTAAATCACAATACTATAAAATATGTATGTACATTGAATGAACATTTATTTCATTCACTTAATCGGTTATTTTCATTTTACTTTTTATTTTATTTTTTATTTTTTTTTATAAATTATTTTATTCTTTATTTTAGTTTTTACTTTATTATTTTATATTTTTCTTATCAAAATAAATATTTATTTAAATTAAATAATTTTTCACTGAATACAAATTTATTTTTGTAGTTCATAATTTTTTCATAAAAATTTATTAGTCAAAATTTTCTATTTAAAGAATTTTATAAAATGTAATAATTATTTTTTAGGCAAATTATCATTTTTTGAATTAGCACATTTGACAAAATTTCTTATCAAAATTTTATATAAAAAAAAATTATAGATACTGAATTTTTCTTTTATGGGCAGAATTTCTCATTAAACCAAAAATTTTTTTATTTCAAATTATAGAATTTCTTAAAGTTGAAATTACCAAAAGATCGAATTTTTGAAAGTTCCGATTATGAAAAGATCGAATTTTTGAAAAAGTTCGAATTACCAAAATATTGAACTTCTAAAAGTGCGAACTACTAAAAGAGAAATTCTGAAAAATCAAAATTCTGTGAAATAAACATTCTATAAAAAGTCTAAAAAATAATTATATCTATTAAAATTATCTAAAATGAAAATTCTAACCATTGATTTTTTTTTTTGGGAAATTCATGCTTTACATTTATGCCATCTCCTTAATCGGTTTTTGTCATATTATTATTATTATTATTTATTTTATTTTTATTCTTATCAAATTTAATATTTACATAAACAGAATAATTTTCATGTTTAAATAAATAATATTTACATCATTAATATAAAATTACTATACATAAATATATATTTAAATCAACAAAATTTTTGTATTTGAATCACATTCGGTTTAAATACGACGCAAATAATGGATTATCACATATTCGAATCAATTAATTTAATATTAGCCAGGTAAGCGATTATTTGAGGTAAATAAAATTTTTTTCCAGTATATATAAAATTAGTGAATAAAATTAGATAGAAAAAAAAATATATTGACGATACGTCATCACAATGACACGTAAACGCTATATTTAAATGTAATTATAATTATATATGAAAATGAGAAAAAAATTTGTTTAATGGATATTTTATAAACTATTTTTTCTTCTTTTGATTGGAGTGAAATAATTTTTTTTCTCTCTTTTTTTTTGTTAGGAATTACGACGCATGTAATTGCATAATATATTCATCATTCTGCGTAAATTGTTGTATGCACATTGAAGACTAATTTATGCATTCAATACTTAGATGCAAATTATTATTTACTCCATTCTCAGTGGGTGTCAATAGAATAAATTTTTAAGTAATCAATTATACTTTTATGGATATTTAATCACGTATACACACTTTTAATTCAAAATGAAAAATTATTTTTTTTTTTTTTTTGCATTTTAATCGATAAGTATCCATTGCAATGGTAAAATGCGAAAAATTTATTTTATAAATAAAAATAAATAAAAATTTATTTTTTATAAAATACCTCAAGCGATCCAATTGAAAAAAAAATCCTACAAGTACTTCAACCACGAAGTATTGTTAGGTTATATCAAGGATTGTAAAAAGAGGAGGGGATTAAAGTTTTCAACTTTTCAGTAAATATTTGAAAAATCGTAGCTATTATACAATATAAGGTTGAAAAATTTTTTTGACCTATGTTTCCAAACGGTTTTTTCCTACTCTTTCGAATAATGTGACATTTTTTTCAAAAAATTGAAAATTTAACCTTATTTTTCAAAATTTAAAATATTTTTGACTTTCTTAAAAAAATTATTCTTTTAATGTTTTGAAATTTTTTCTTTTTTTTAACGAATAAGGTTTAAAATTTTTTTAATTTAAAAAGATGCCCATTTTGAGAAAAAGTGAAAAATATTTAGTTTCATAAAATAGAGTTAAATAATATAATTAAAATATTTAATAAAATTTAAAAAAAATTTGATCCACATGTTTTTGAAAGGTTTTGTTTCGGCGCATTTTGAATAATCATTTATTCTAAATTTTAAATAAACAAATTACCTTTTAAGATAATTTTTATTTTGACGAATGACCATTGGTTAGAAGTTTTAAATGTTCGAATTTCAATTATCTAGAATTTTCATCTTATCACATTTCCATTTAGTATAATTTTTATTGCTTTAAAATATTGTTTTACATATAAATAATTATATTGCTGTAGTGTTTGTGTCCGATTTTAAAAAATTAAATTATAATGTTAAAAGAACGATTTTAAGAGTGACAAAATTTTATTTAATAGAGTCGAATGATCTCTGAAATTTTTTGTCAAGAAGAGACCTTTAATTATCGCTCTATAAAAACGGCACTAAACGTGAAAATGATAAAAATTGATTTTAAAATACTTTCTTCTCGAAAGACGGACACTTTTTACAAAAGCAGCTAGAGATCCTTATCTTATATAAATTTCCTAAATCCGAAAGATTATACGAATCTATACAAAAACACGATTGCAAAACGAAAAGTAATATAATGAGGGGTTCATTACCTCCTGCCGCCGTCAGATGGCAGCAGCATGCAGGGCGCACAAAGTCGCAGCTGTTATTAGATTACTTTTCTACTTTTTGTTTTGCAACCATGTTTTTCTATGGATTCGTACAGTCTTTTGGATTTAGGAAATTTATAAGATGAGGATTTTGGCTGATTTTGTTAAAAGTGTTCGTGTTTCGAGAAAAAAGTATTTTAAAATCAATACTATTTCACGTTCAGAGCGATAATTAAAGCTCTCTTCTTGCCAAAGAATTTCAGATACCGTTCGATACTCTTTTAAGCATAAATATAAAAACGAAACAAGAAAATAACTTCATTGTTAATAAATTTATATGAACCCAAATCTAAAACATCTATTATCTGTACGCATATAAGTATACATTAAATAAATTCTGGTTCCTCATAAAATACTATTTTTAAATATTTAAAACTCAATTTGTTTTAAATTGGGCACGTAAACTGATTTTAAAACCTATTGAGAAAAGTTTTTTTATTCATCTTAGAACCATAATCAAAAAGAATTTTTAAGTGCCAATTCTCCTCCTTCTGGCGCACCGTGTATCGGCAAAACAAAATTTAGGACATATGAATTTTCTGTGATTTGTGAATTATGTCAAATAGCAAATAGTGTCAGTGAATTTTAGGTTATGTGGATTTTAGAAAAATAACAATTATAACAAGTAAAGTTTAGAAAATTGAAAATGTAAAACAATATTTTGAAGAAATAAAAATTATACTAAATGAAAATGTGAGTAGATGAAAATTCTAGATAATTGAAATTCGAACATTTAAAACTTCTTGCCAATGGTCATTCGTCAAAATAAAAATTATGTTAAAAGGTAATTTGATTATTTAAAAATTAGAATAAATGATTATATTCAAAATGCGCTGAAAAAAAACCTTTCAAAAACATGTGGATCAAATTTTTTTTTAATTTTATTAAATATTTTAATTATATTATTATATAACAGTTACGACTTTTCAGAAATCTACTGTTCACACTTTTGATGTTGGATCACTTGAGAAATTGTGCCCCCTATATACATAGTCAATGTGGTGTGTTACTTGACAATTTTATTGTACGTTGTATATTATGATGTAACGAATCAATTGAGACATGGACATAAAATGATGACATTTGAATTTTGTCAAATAGTTATAGAACACTTATATTGCAATTGTTGTTTGAATAGTTTTTTAACAAAGTTCATTATTGTCTATTTGTTCCTATAACCGTGAACTTTTATGTATCTATAAACTTTTACGGTAGTTTTCAAACCAGGAAAACATAATAATGTAATAATAATAATAATATGAATGCCCCGTTATGTATTGTTATACGAACCTGAAAATCGTACAAAACTTATCAGTACACTTTTATTTTTGTTTATTGCAAATAGTATTGTTTAAAACTTAATGTTCATCGTAGTTTGTTCCTATACTTTTTTATTGCTGACGAATTTCGAGTTTTCGTGAATTTATATTTTTTCCAACTTTTATTATATATTAGAAAATTGCAATTAAA